TTGCTGCTGGGTCTGAAGGGACACTGGGGGGGGGGGGTGATAACACCAGCCCTCCCTTCGCTCCCAGGCTGTAGCCCTTGGTTCCTGACAACACCACTGAGACTGCCGCCTGCTATCTCTTAGATTAGCCTGCAGCTATTTTTATTCTGCCCTTGCTTAGGGGAGAAACGCAGCGTGGGCCAACCCCGGGCAGGGCCCCTGGAAGACCACCGTGAGCCGGGGAGAAAACAACTTGTTTTACTACCTTTTTTTTTTAAAAAATATATAAATTTTTGTTGTAGATGGACACTCTCTATTTGTTTGTTTATTTATTTATTTATACGTGGTGCTGAGGATGGAACCCTGCTCCTTACACATGCCAGGCAAGCGCTCCACCACTGAGCCATAGCCTTAAAGAAAAAAAATTTTTTTAAACTACCTTTGTCCCCTGAGACGTATCCACACGTCTATGCGCACGTCGAGTCCCCTGTGGAAGCGCCTCCCACAGGGAGTCCTGGCCTCCTACACAGAGAACACGGTGCACCAAAGCCTGCCCTGAGCACCACCATAAGTGCCACTTGCAGTGACGTCTTGTCCCCTGGTTCCATGGGAGGGAGGCTTTGAGGAGACAGGCTTGGGGAAGGGAAATATGGCTTCCCTCCCGCCTTTAGGTTCTTTGGATAATGAATTAAATATACGGAAAACAGATGAACGGGGAGAAGCCATATTTGAGGAGGGGAGCCGCAGAAAATACAAGGTGAGGGAGGGCCGGTGACTGAAGCTTGTCCAGCCCCCTGAGCTCCAGGAAGGACCACAGCCGTGGGCCCCAGGGAGGGGCGGGTTATGGGGGGCCAGGGGAGGGTGGGTGACAGCTGTCTCTTCCCCCTGCAGATGCGTCCTGCTGTGGGTTGGCCCTGTGCGCCTAAGTGCTGTGTAGAGGACGGCTGTGCAGGTGTACCTTGGGACAGCATATTCTGGTCTCGCAGTCACATTTTGGGATGGTGTTCGCTGAGCCCCACAGGACCCCTGAGGACAGTGTGGTCGGCCGGCCTCAGGGAGGCCAGGTGGTCTGCCGAGCCCAGGACAGGGGAATGGAGACAGTCTGGGTCCACAGCTCTGCCGGGAAGTCCGTGGCACGGCTGTGGCTTGGGAACCACTGGAGGTCCTCCCACAGTGACGGGCTTGCTGTGAGGCTGCGGCCACCTTGTCTTTGAGAGAGGTTCAGGACAGGGGGAGAGAACCCGAGTTAAGTCTGCACTTCAGGTTGAAAAGATGAACCAAAATTGAGAGTGTCCAAGAAGCAAGAGGAAAACCCAGAGAGCCTGGTGCCCAGGGCGGGGAGGCTTCTGAGGGAACCAGTGTCCAGGGGATCACTGCCTCCGGGAGGGATTCGGTGTAGAGTCCTCAGGATAGAGACCTTGCGCTCTGCTCCGGCCACACTGGCTTCCCTGCAGTTCCCGCAGGTGCCTGTGTTGTCCCCACCTGGCCTCTGTTCCCCCTGCTCTCAGCAGGACCCTCCCCTAGCTCACCACCTGACCACGCAGAAGGTGGCTGTAAGGTTTAACCTTGGCACGTCACATAACATTGGCCATCCAGACCATCCTTCAGCACACAGGTCAGTAGTTCTGAGTTCGTCGTTCAACACATATCCAGAGACCAGATGCCGTAGAGCAGCGAGCCCACGCGGCTCTCCCTGGCTGTGACTGACTGCCTCAGACTCCTCAGGTAAGAGGAGGCGCCTCGCCCAGCCTTGTCTATTTGTAACATTGAGCTTCGCCACTGCCCTCAGGTCCAATCAGATCCCGTTTTAAATCCTTTTAAAAGCCCTCCCATAAACAAGACAGTTTTGATGATTTTTGTGGCAAAATACACATAAAATTTGCCATTAGTGATGCTTTGTGCATTCACGGCAGTATGCAGCATGGGTGCCTCCAGAACATTGTCATGAGCCCCAAAGAAAATCCCACATTCTTTAAGCAGTCACTGCAGTTTCCTCCTCGCCTGGCCCTGGCCCTGGCCACCACCAACCAGCTGTCCACATGGGTACTTCATATAAATGGAATCACATGACATGTGGCCTTCCATAGCTGGCTTCTTAAACGCGCAGAGTTTTCAAGGCTCGGTGCACAGCGGCGGCTCAGCCTCCTTCCCTAGCTGAGTGGTGTCCATTGTGCATACACCATTCTGTTCACCCACTTGCCAAAGGACCTCTGGATCCTGGGGGGAGTGCTGCTGCCAACGTGTGTATATGAGTTTTTCTTTGAATGCATTTAAAATGATTTAGACCATAGATCTAAAATTTAAGACATTTTATTAGATAATTTTTCTTGTTTTTAAAAAAGCCATCCTGGACTGCTCTTCTTCCTGCTTATTGCCTACCTACCCATTTCCATGTCCCAGATAGCCATGAGCCTGTTCCCCTTCCCCGAAGGCACTGTGTTGTCCACTGTGTCCAAAGGGACCAGTTCCAGGACCCCCGAGGACACCAAACCCCACAGAGCTCAAGTTCCTCATATAAAATGGCATAGGATCTGCAGAGAACCCATGCACATCCTCCTGTGCATTTTATTTTTTTTAAATATTTTTTAGTTGACAATGGATTTTTCACTTTATTTATATGCGGTGCTGAGGATCGAACCCAGGGCCTCTCACACACACAAGCCAGGCGAGTGCTCTACCACTGAGCCCCAGCCCCAGCCCCTCCTGTGCACTTTGAATCTCCTCTAGGTGACCTGTAATGCCTAAGACATGTGAATGTCTGTGAATAGCTATGCTAATTGGGGGGTAATGACAGGGAATGAAGTCACACACATTTTCAACCCAAGAATGATTGAATCCAAGGGATGCAGAGAGCCAGCTGCATTTTCCAACCCAGTGCAGACTTTGCGTATGAATTACCTGCTTACCCTCCCCCACAAATCATAGGCTCCACGACAAAGGGAATCTTGTGTTCACTGTGTCCCTAACACAAATGCCTGGCAAATAGTGGGTGCTCAGAAACACTTCTTGAATGAAAACCGTCTTGAGGGCTGCTGTGTTTTAATTCCTTGACTGTCGGCTCATCGAAGGCTCGGTGTAGCACATGTAGCAATGTAGCACATGAACTCACCTTATTGCTTAAGAGTGAAAACTAAAACCACTCATGAAATATACTCCAAAACCAAAATATGGGTAAGCTTCACACATTGATTAAGAAAAAAAAATCTGGAAAGAAAAAGAAAAAAAAAAAAAAATCCACAAGAGTTTTTCAAATGGCCTAAGGAGCCCTTCATACCTATCTCAAGACAGAGCGAATGTGGACACTGCCCTCTCATGGCTGATAGCAGGAGAGCGGATTTCTGCAGGCCAGTCTGGCAGGGTTGTAGGACAGGATGTTTCAAAATGGGTCAAGTTTGATGCTATATTCAAGCGGCAGGTCAGAGGGAGAATTTCAGGGAGTATGGAGCCACACATCTCCATACTGTGAGGAGGCTGTTCCGATTAGCAGGAAGTAGTGAAGAGAAATGTTGAGACAAGAAAATCCCGACTTGAGGGCACCCATCTGCTGCGCATACAGCTGGAATCCGAGTGGGAACTTCCCATCTGTGCTTTATTCTCAGCTTTAATTTGACCCAAAATAAGACACATGTGTGTATAATTTGTGCTGAATGTCTTTTGGGGCCAAGAACTGTTTAAAGATGGTCTATGTGAAGTATGTTTCCATCACAGTGGCCCACACAATAGCCCTCCACCCCGGGCTGGCTCTGAAACCCCTGGTGGGTGCTGCAGTGCGGCCAGCACAGACCCTGTGCACTGCGATCCCCAGCAGTGCATCGCCAGCTGACCAGGCCGCCGAAGGGCTAGCGGGAGGCTAAAGGCACAGTGTGGACGTGTTGGACAAAGGGACAACTCACATCCTGGGCAGGAGGAAGTAGAATGGCCTGAGAGCTCATTGTGCTGCTCAGAAGAGCATGCAATTAAAGCTTGCAAACTTTTCATTTCCAGAACTTTCCATTTAACATTTTCAGATCATGGTTGACCATAGGTAACTGGGACCACAGAACTATCGAAACACATAACGTACTACTCAGGACCTACTGTGAAGCCAGCAATGAGGACTGCAGGCAATCCAGCGTGGCCCTTGGTACTGCCCCACACACTGCCCCAGCCCTCAACACCCTCCACTCCCACAGGTCTAAAGACTGGTCTCTGCCTGGCCAGCTCTTCTGGAACCCGGGGGCTTCTGCTGCAGGACATTTCAGGGCCCAGAGCCCCGGGGATGGCAGCATTCAGGAAGCCTGGCCAGGGGCTGCATCTGCTTCTTCACACTGTCCTCTGATTCTCAATTTGACTCTGAACTTGACACCAACAATCACCCCCACTCTACAAATGGGTAACCCACTCTGGGTCGTGTATTAGCACCAATCTAGAGCCCCAGACTCCAAGCCCAGTGCTTCAACCAAGGTCCAAAATCCATGTTCTTTCCACTGACCCTTCTTCCTCCACATCACCCCTTCCAGGTCCTCTGGGGCAGTGGGGAGGGGGACTTCAAGTGTGAGGTCAAGCAGGCCTATAGCTCAAGAAGACACTGACACCTCCAGGACTGGCCAGGCCCAGGCCCTGCCCCCGGCCTTGGCAGAACTCAGGTCCAAGTGGGCCTCAGCTTTCCTTGGCTTCCCTCTCCTTGCTTCCACTTGGTCTGGACCTCAGAAAGGGGTCAGCTGGCCCCACAGTCACTGCCCAGCGCTGGACTCGCCAGGCTGCTGTGGTCAGAAAGCCTCTCCCTCTGCACTGTCAGACACTGGCCTGAGTCACCTCGCTGGAGCGAGGCCCCTCCCGACAGACACTCTGCTGCTTGAGGGAGGAGCGTGCTGGCCTCCCAACCTCGGCAACTACCCGCAGCGTCTGGGACATGGTGCCTTGGCTGCCTAACAAGGCTTCACTGAACAAATGGACAGACTGTTTAAATTCATGTCTGAGAAACCAGGACAAGAAGAGGCACAGGGATCCCAGAGCGAATTCTGAGAAACAGACACACCGCGTCTACTGAATACAGGCTAGTTTATTCAAGGAATGACCGGGAGTTTGTGTCACCCTTCTTCCATCTCTTCTCTTGTCCCCCCACCAGACTGGGCACTAAGCTTCCAGGGGGGCAGGGCATCTGGAGCTGGTGCCCCTGTGGCAGCCACCCACAGTGCTCAACTGCCCAGTGCCCTCGGAGTCCCTGTGTCACACAAGCAGCCCATTGCTCTGCCTGCCCTTTACACACCAGTCACCTGCAGAAAAGCTGGGGGCTGAGTCTCCTCTCTGACCTGCTGAGCAACCGGAGCAGATGGGGACTGGCTCAGTTTGGCAGCCTGGCCGGAGCTCGGGCTGGATGGCTCCTGAGACAGGGGCCTGAGGAGAACCAAGCTGGCCGCTCCCGGATGTTAGAGAAATGGAAAGAGGCGCTTCTTCACGATGTAGAGGACTGTGGCGAGAAAGAGGGCCAGCGCCAGGAAGATGAGCAGCTTGTCAGTCAGCTCGCGGCGGTTGTATTTCGTGATGAGCTTCCGGCCCAGCTGGATGGTCCCGGACATGGACTTGAATTCCTCGTTTGCGTCCAGGATGGTCCGCGAAGAATTGACTGAAAAAGAAGAGGGAGGGCCTGACTCAGAGACCCTCTGCACGTGTGGCCAGGAGCTTGCTGCCGCTGGCTGCCAAGAAGGCACACTGCGTTGGGAGCAGAGAACGGCCCGGACAGGGAGGCTCCTCCCAAGGTCCAGCCAGCTGATGGGGTTGGCTCAGGAGTATGGAAGAGGGACACTAGCAAGGAGAAGGGAGGCAGGTGGGCCACCCAGGTACCAAACTCAGCTCTCCAAAGTAGACAGGCTAGGTCAGCTCATGGGCTGGGGGCACCGGTACTTCCACCTGTGAGCTGTGGCTCCCCCAGGACACCTGAGGTCAGATGCGCTCTTTGCAATCCACACAAAGGCAAGGACCGCCTGGGCCCTGGCAAGAGTCATCCCATGTACCAGCCCTGCAGTCCTGGACACTGGCTTCAGCTTTAAAGATGTAACTAACACCTATGCTCCACCTGGGTGACTCCCAAGAGGTCCGTGTCCCTTAAGGGTTCACTGTGCCAAGTCAGGAATCCTTCTGAGTGCAGACTATGGGCCTGACACTCAGAGAAGAAGGTCTGCCTGGCCAACTTCACCTACAAAGCCCAGTAAGGTGTCCTCAGAACATCCACTGAACAAGCGTTGATCGTGAAGGCAGGAGCTAAGGGTGACAGCCACTCCGCTTGCGCAGGAAGGGGCATTGAGGATGTTCATTTGCTTGTGTTCACAGCCTGGAGGACCCCGGATGTAAAAGAAAATGGAAGCCCAGGTGGGCTCTGGGGAGGGAACCAGAGGGATGAAGGTCAGGGGTCTCTGACCTCTCGGGACAGTGGTCTGTTGTATTTTCTTTTTGTTCTACTTAGTTGGGCACCTTTTGCACTGACAATAAGCAGCCGCGACACACTCTATGACTCCTGACCATGTAAGATATGGCGAATGCAAACTGAGAGATCTGGAGGTATAAAATACACACGTGGTCTCAAGACAGCAGGAGGGGACAGCGTACAACACAGGCCTCCGCCACCTCCTCAGGCTCCACACCCCTGGATTCCACCAACCTCAGGATGGACGTGTGGGAAAAAAATGTATCCGTAATAAACATGTAGAAATTTTTTTCTTGTCCTATTCCCCTGAAGGACACAGCGTGCCGACTATTACACAGCATTCCCACTGTGTTAGGTATTGTAAATCATCCAGAGGTACCTTAAGGTCCACAGGAGCATGTGGGTAGGTTGTATGCAAATACTGTGCCATTTTACATGAGGGACTTGAGCACCCTCAGATCCTGACATCTGTGTGGTTCCTGAACCACACAGGAACACTGAGCAGTGACTATTTCAATAATTTTACTACTAACTGCCTGATGAAATGGGAATATTTTACATCTAATGGCTTAAATGAAATATATCATTCAAATTAACTTCACATTTCTTTTTACTGTTTATAACATATCTACCAGAAAATTCAAAGTCACATGCGTGACTCCCATTATGTTTCTACCAGGCAGCACATGGACAGCATCTTTCCTTTAACCACGTTATGTATTTTACCTTTTCACAAAATTAAGCTAAAAAATGAATCATCAGAGGAAACAGAGCATTTTGAAAATGACAGATAGACCAGCTGGAGCCAGGGGGCGCTCAGGGCTGCACACTACCATGCTCTCTACTTCCGCCTACTGTGACTCTTCTAAGTTCAGCAGCCTCTGACTGGTCCTGGGAAAAGGAGCGCACGGTAAATAATGCTCAGGAGCACAGCTGTAGCAGTCTGGGCGTCTCGACAGCAGTCGTGATTCCCAACCTACCTGGTCACACAGGACCCCAGAGCACTCACTGAAAACTAGACGCCAGGCCTCCGGCCTCTGGCTGCTGGCACACAGTCCCCAGGGGAGGGCAGGAATCCCTGAGGCCCTAGGAATGCTCTACTGGAAATGCTGCGGGGGGCTGTCTGTGGCACACCTGCAGGCACAGACAGGAGAGGCAGGAGCAGTGTGCCCTACTCTGGACAGGCCCGAGATGTCACCTCACCTCACGAGCAAGATGCCACACAAGCCAGGAAGCTTCAGGTGGGCAGAGGCGAAGGAGCCCTGGGCAAAAGTGGGGGGGGCAGCCGCCCTGGAGCTGGGGGCCCTGGGAGAAGACTCCCGCCCAGGGTGGGCTCACCTAAAGTCTGCATGGCCTCCTCACTCTGCTGCACCTGCTGCGACATCACCCTGCTGATGCCCATGAGGCTCTCCGTGATGGCGCTCGATGTCTGCGCCAGGCTCTCTTTGGTGGTTTTCCTAAAAGCCCAGAGGAGGGGAAGGAATGTCAACTAAACCGCCCTCAAGAAAGCCCCATGTTCAAACGAGGCCCCAATTCTTCGTCTATCACATTAGCTGGCATTTTAAATGACTGGTCACCAGCTAGGGTGTGTGTAGAGACGGGGCTTGTGCAGACTGTGACAGCGCGACAGGGACGGAATCAGTGACACTGTCTACAGAGCACGTTAGACACGTTCATCCTTGACGCGGCAATCTCATGCCTGGGATGCCTCCCAAGGAACCACCCAAAACGTGGATAAAGCCTTTCATTCTAAGGTGTGCCGCTCACCGCACCGAAAAACCAGACTCGGGGACATATGCAAGCAGGAACTGGCTAAACGATGGCATTCTGGGCACGTTAAAGTGATGCTTTGTGCATTGTTTAAAAAAATAACTGAGTCTTTGTGCCACAGTTCAAAATGCAGAAGTGTAGGATGCTAAATTTATATATAGTACAATTTTGACTTTGTAAAAGACATGAAAGGAAAAGTAACAGGGGAGGCAATGTGCCAAATGTTTATGGACAACAAGATCGCAGCTATGCTCATTCTGTAAGTGGCATTTTTCTTTATTTTACTCATTTACTACCAATAAGCATACACTTCTTTCATACTTTAAAAATATAATAACATTAAGCACGAATGTTGTCCCACAGAGGGTTGGACAGCAGGCCAACTGTTACCTGTTATCTGAGCCCAGAAAGACAAAAGGCAGGTTACCTTTGCCTTAGGGGGTCTCCTCCCTGGAGAAGCTCTGCCTTCTCTAGGTTGTCAATTGCAATTTTGCAGGTGAGGTTGGCTTTCCTCCAGGAGGTCTGGTTGCTGAAAGAAGAAGGGTCCCATCTGAGTTTCCGTCAACTCCCCCGGCTATCAGCCAGCTGTCACAGCAGTCCGTCCTTCCAAGCGCAGCCCGTGGCGCCCATCCCTGCCCCTCAGTTGCCCTGGCAACTGATGTAGCTCAGGTCCTAACAGCTCTCCTCTGGACCCCAGAAGCTGTCTCCAGGATGTCCTATCATTGCCATTCTCCCTGCAGGCACAGTTTACAGCCCCATGACACCTCCAGACTGCAGGGTGGCATCCAACCCCTTAGCTGGGCACAAAAGGCCCCATTCTGTCAAGTGACCTCTAAGGCATTAGAGGTCTGCTGTGTGTGTCTTGGTGCGGCCATTCCTTGAGAGCCCCAACCCACTAGGCCCCTTCCCATCACTGGAAGAACCGTTTCTGACCCCTTAGCTGCTCAGTGAATGTGTGTTGTTATAGAAGGAAAAAGACCAAATGCACCACCTTTGTCAGTATTTCTCCAAGATCTGCAGTTCTTTACAGATCACTCAAGAGCAGTACAAATACACTGTATCGGCAGGGGCCTTATTGACATGATTTATTTACATTCTTTATCTAATCTACTTTGTGGTTACAACTCCAATTTGGTGAACAGCTCCCTAAGATATAGCAATACAGCTGACAGACCATAAAAAAGCTAACTGTGAGGCTGGGATACAACTTAGTGGCAGAGCACTTGCCCAGCATACTCAAGGCCCTGGGTTCAATCCCCAGCACTGCAAAAAACATAAAAAAATAAAAGTTAACTGTACCCCTCTGGGGATGAAACCCATGCTCAGGAACTCATGCACCAGCTCACAGCAACTGTACTAATCCCTGGAAATATTCAAAACCAAAGCAGAGCACATGAACTCAGGTGGTTTCTAATAACACCTAAACGCCAAAGGTCTCCCAAGGGCTCTCTGATGCTGTGCAGCACCTGCCATGCCACTTCACACTTGCCATCTTAAAAGAATCAACTGTATCTTCAAAGAATTTGCAAGAGAGTTCTGCAAGGCCCGGTGTGCAGCAACCAGGGGGCACAGTGCCTGCCCTTCCGGGGCTCACAATATACCGGGTGAGGACAGGTGAACAGATACTCACTGCACAGTGTGACAAGCGTGGCTATCCAAGCCCGCTCAAGTACTGTCCCCACCACAGCAGCCACCAATACGTACTCAGGCACTGCTTTCTCACCTCCACGTCTATGCCAGCCAGCTCCACATCATGCATGGCCATTTGCAGCTCAAGCCTGTCCTGAGCTGACCGTGTCTGGAGCAGCTTGCTGAACTTGACACAAGGCTCCTCTCTATTCCAGGTTGAGATGGGAGTATACGTGGTAGAACAGGAAAGCAAAAGTATCCTAACACGAAGCAGTCACTAACACGAAAGCCCCAGACACTGCTCCACCCACCCCGTCCACCAGTCAGCGCCTCCCCGAGGGCACGCAGCTTCGGCCAGCGGCCAGTGGCCAGCAAGGATGCTGCTGGAAGATGACTCAGAATCAAAGCCAAGGAGGAGGGCCTCAGAGAAAACCCCCAGGAACACAGACACAGCAGGGCTTCAGGTGAGAGCACCCCAAGACCAGGGACTGGGAAAGCTCCTGGAGCCCGTAGAATCTCCGCAGCAACCACCCTTACCCTCCGAGATGACCCCACATAAGCCAAATGTGAAGGGAAAGGTAGTGCTTCGCGTTTTCAGATCACCCGGTTGGAAAAGTTATTCCCCCCTCAATTCAAATCAAGAAATAGCTCAGGGCTAGGGTGTAGTTGGGTAGAGTGCTTGCCTCCTTCGCATGAGGCCCTGAGTTCATCCCCAGCACCACATAAATACATAAACACACACAGGAACAAAGGTTATAATCTTTTTAAAAAGTAAGTAGCACATAGCTGTGGTTTTATAGTCAGGATGGGCACACAGATGGATTAAAATTCCATTTTGTTGGACATAACAGAAGCTCATTTACATCTTTAGTGTGACATTTTTTTAGATAACATTATCTAAAATTTTGTTCCCTCAAGTAGGTTCACTTCCACTGGAGTTTTCCTAGTACCAATTACTCTTAGATAAAATTGACCCTGTATTATAAAACTAATCATGGGTTTTGTTTTGTTTCGAAAATATAAAATACAGCATGTTGTTAAATGTGCTCCTGTGTGTGAACTATGCACAGCTCCCCTGCCCCCTCCACTGCAGAATCACTGCTGGAGAGCACCCTCAGCCCTGTGCAAACCACTCAATGAGCCTGGGTTTATTAGGCAAATACTCCCCTAAGCTTCATGGAAGCAAGGGACCCAGAGGCGCTGGCGTGAGGCCAGGCCCTGCTACCTGAGCATCTGCTTTTTGTGATTCTCCACTTCCTGCAGTAGAAGCTGCTTCTCCGACTCTTTGTCTTGCTCCTTAGCTGACTGCTCAAGTTCCTTCAAGGAGAAAACAGCTCTGTGTTAAACAGTTTTGAAAGCCGATATGAAAACAGAAGAGCATTTCTATTTCTAGCAAAGGTGCATAAGGGCACTTGAAGCCCCCCTTTAAAACAGAACATCCAGGAAGGATAGGTAACGTATATCCTTACAGCCCAGTCTGCAAGTTTACAGCCCAGTCTGCAAGAAGTAAGGAAAATCCCCAGGGCCCAAAAGTGAGTAGTAATCTCAAGCCAGAGTGCTCAGCCGGCAAGGATGTGGGAGCTGCCACCCTATGACCAGGGCATGCCTGACATGGAAAGCCACTGACCCCACACTTAGCCATCATGAGAAGATCAAACGGCCACATGTTTCCAAATGCTCTCTCTCGGCTACTGTCCCTAGTTCATCAGAGAATGGTTACGAAGAGTTTGAGAGTTTGAAAGCTCATGTAGGGACAGAAAAATGAAGATTCAAGCCATCTAAGGCTGAGATTTGGAACTGAAAACATCACAAATCCAGGACCCACGAAAGGCCACACCCTCAGCAAAGAGGTCTATCCATCAACAGAGTGAAAACAGAGACACAGTGGGGGCACTATGGGGTTCTGGATAGAGATGCAAAAACAAAAAAGCAACAAAAAGCAAGACTTCCCTGGGTATTTATAATTAGAGAAGCTGCTCTCACATTGATCTGGGGTTCAAATTTAAAGAAAATAATAGAAAGCACGCCTAGGTTTGATAATCTCAGGAGACCAGCAGAAGCAGAAAGCCTCTAGAGGGATCAGCCCGGGGCCAGGCCACAGCCTCACAGTAAGGTCTGCAGAAGGTGAGGCTCATGGCCTGGAAACCAATACCAGCACACTCCAGCCTGCGTAGGAGCTGCAGACTTGAACAGCAAACAGCCTATCAGACCCCCGTGACTTCAGCACACAGTAATTAAAGCTGTCTCTGCACCTCAAGTCTCAAGTCACACTTTTTTGTTTACAAATTGAAACAAGTTCCAGTTTCAATCCAGCTATTCATCTAAAACCTCTGTGTTAGATTATTTGTATACTAATTTATTTATTTACATGCTTATTTGCATGTGCTAATTTGGAACAAGCTATGTATCCACCATTTCAATAGCTCAGAAATTACTTCCAATTTATTTCCCCAAATACCAGCTAACGCAGAGAAAATTGTGAATTGGAAAATTTTTGCAAATGTCATCAGATGTTTGCATAACTGTTTGTTTAAAATTCCCTAGTAGGCTGAAAACCGAAGGCAGAACTGTATCTACTGTTGTTCGCTACCTTTATCCCTCGTGCCTGGCATGTAGTAGGCACTGAATTACTGAATGGAAGAATGGAGGCACAGGGAGAGGAGACATGGAGGACAGGAGGGAGCAATGTATGATTTCCTCATGAAAAGCTGCCTGGAGTTCAGTCACAGAGAACCAGCATCAGTTCTGGAGAAAAGCAAGGGGGTAGAGTAATTCTCAAATTCCAGGTTGAGAACCAAGACATTTACAGTCAATACCGACTACCTGTAGAACAGTGTATTTTGAGAATATATGGCCATTTCTCTTCTAGTATCACAATTTTGTTGCAAATGCACAAAAAAGACAATCACATAAGAGCTAAAAACATCAAACCAACAGAAATCTCTTATATAATTCCAGGCATGAAGAGAACATGTACATGCGCAGGAATGTAGATTAGAATTGCGGTGGGGTTATTCATTCACTGGGTATGAGCCTGTCCCCTTGACAGATGGAGACATACCTGTGCTGAGGAGCTAATGGGGACAAGGACCACAGTAAATATGTAAATATATTAGTGAGGCAATTTACATAAATTAGTGAAGAAAATAAACATCAGGTAAGCATGTAAATACTTAAATAGAACAAGGAAATACTTGTATTGAAGGTAGAGGGTGTAGGGGATTAGCTGAAGAAAGCCTTTTAGGCAATAAATTAGCTTTTGAAAGCAAAAAAAAAAAAAAAGTGGAAACAATCCAAATCAATCCTCCTTGATAGAGAAGAGGCCAAAACAAATCATAGTTATACAAAAAGACCAAGGAAGCTCTTTAATTTCTGCTGTAAAAAGTCCTCCAATACATACTGTAAGTTTACAAAAGTGGTGTTATAATTAGGCTAACTTTTAAATGAGAAATGGAAAATAAGTAAGAAATTACATTTGTCTTTTAAAATATTTGAGTAGAGAAATTCTGGAAAGATATATAAGTAAAAAATGAAAATGGGTACCTGTGTGAGGGGTGGGGGACAGAAACAAATAAGAGGTATAACTGAGCAACTTATTTCTGCTCATACGCACACAAACATAAACCATGAAAGTAACAATCTTTCAAAAATTAAGATGATTATAAGTGCCAGAGATAGAGACAAAGAGATGAGCTAGGTAGAGTGACTGCTAAAATTCTAAAGTTAACTCTACGGGAAAAACTGAGTATTTTCAGAATTGAACTTAAGACTCCCCAGGAAGGCCACACGTAGGACACAACATCCTATTGCCCTGTGACCCAACAGGCCAGTGTTTCTGCAGCTTTGGAACAGACTATCTTCATCTGCTGAGCACCAACAAAGCTGCTGGCTGGCTTCCGGGTGACATCACACTCGAGGCACAAGTCTTTACCACAGGGAGCAAGACCAAGTGCCTCTAGAGTCACCAGAGATGGGCAGACCCTGCTACCCCTCTCACACTTGCTGGGCAGGCAGTGGAGAGGCTCCACTACTCCAACAGCTCCTTCTCATGCCCTGGTGTGCTTGGAGAGATACCTAGCCCATTGCTGAACGCAGGCATACTAATGTGACCCATGTCTCCATAAACAGGAAGACACATGCAAGAAAAGCAGTTGACAGACTGAGGTGGAGAATGAGTTGGCCAGAGAGAGCAGTAGACAAGAGAAAATAGTTGAAGTGATCTTAGGTTCTTCAAGTTCAAAATTTCCAGCTGGCATTCAAGTTCCTCACTGCTCCCTCACTGGGGAGAGGTTAGCGGTCACCCTCGCTGTCCAAATGTAATGACCCATTCCAGCTAGTGTCTGAGGGACCTGGACAACTTTTAAGCAGAGACTACACAGGGGACACAGCTCTCTTTGTTGTGACCCATTCTCCATATCTCAGTTCTGCAGCCACACTCACCTGTATTCTGTGCCGTAGCTGTTGAAATTTCTCTTTCACTTTAGTATTCAGTTGGGTAAGTGCACTTAAGGGTCCAGAACAGTCTTGGATATCCTAGGAGACATGGAAGAGATGAGGGGCCTTTCTTGTGGCAACAAAATGAAATCATGTCATCTGTACAGCAAGAAAGCTGACTCAGCCCACTAAGGTTGGCCTAACTATAATTCATCCTGATCTTTGCTGTTTACTTTTGTGACACAAGCAAAACCATTCTCTCTTGCATTTTCCTCATCCTTCTTTAGATTAATGTTGAACCAATAATATAAGAGCAGGCTAGGGGTATAGTTCAGTAGTAGGGCACTTGCCTGGCATGTGCAAGGCCCTGGATTTGATCACCAACACCACAAAATAAAAAAGAAATATCAAGTACATAGAATCATAACTATGCTTTGACCCAAATTATTAGCCCCTTAAGTTTGACAAAGCATCACCCAGTCAGCATGAAGACTTAAAGCAGCTTGCATGCCCAACAAGAATGGGCACCCAAAAGTGATACTGTAACTTTAGATCCTTCCAACTTGAAAACCAGAATGCTTAAATTCCTGGCAAAGTATGAGAAGATTAACTTGATCTGATTTTACAAACCATCTGTTATAAGTCACAGTGTTTACAGACATGTTTAAGGGTAGATTTAGAATTTGTTTCTGAAAATAAATTCAGAATCATTGGGGCCAGGTTTCAGAGCAGACTCTAGATCCAGATTATGTGCAAATTCTGGCTGTAAGAACTGACTGTGCAATGTTTAAAAGTTACTTAAATTCTCTGTACCTCAATATCGTTATCACAGCACCTGTCCTAAGGCCATATATCTGTGTAAGGCACTCAATGGAGCAGATGGAACACGGTCAGAATGCAATACATCTAGTTACAACCACTCTTTCTTGTTAGCAACCACAAGAACCCAAGCGCTAGAAGGAGAAGGGGGTCCAGGCAATTCAGAGAGCTTAAAAGGGTCATTTTTTTTCTTTCTTTCTTTCTTTCCTGGTGCTGCGGATCAAACGGCCGTGCACATGCTGAGCACACATTCTACCACCGAGCCACACGCTCAGACCCTGGTCACTCATTTGTGTTAATCCAATCCCCAGTTTCTTTTTCCAGAATTGGCCCCGACCTTCTGTAGATTGTACATCGGAGAAGTGAAGTTCAGGAAATTCCAACGTTGGCACCAAGCCTCTTCTCTTGTCTGTGGTTCACTCAGCCTGGATCGTTCTGCGGCTGGTCTGCCTGGGGAGACCCGCTGTCCTTCATTTTTAGCCACAGCTGGTCGCCACCTCTGCAATCTACCTCTACTGTCAGGAGGCGCTCCTAGCAAAGGGAAGCAGCTTGTCTGGACTCTCGGTTTCTTCTTGCTGCACCCGCAGACCCCACTCGGCCTCCTCCGCTGAGCGGCTCGCTGCACCGCGGCCTCGACCCTCCCAAGGCTCGGCGAAGCCCAGGGGACCCTCTGCCGGCGGGGCGGAGGCGCTCGCTGGAGCCTCCCCCCGGACTTTCCGCGTCCGGGTCCGGGTCCGGGTCCGGGTTTTGCCTGGGTCCGCCTCTGGCCCTTTACTCGATTTCTCCATTCATGACCACAGCGAGGTGCGGGCGGTCTGCGCCAGGCGGCGGGTGCCACCCTCGGGGACGCCGCCGGGCGCGCGGGGGGTGGGGCGGACGCGAGGGAGCCCGGAAAAGACCGCGCTCGGCACCGCGGGAGGGCGAGGCCGGCAGGGCCCAGGAACAGTACCTGGATAAGCGCTTTCACCTCCAGGTCGAACTTGACGATCTCCTGGTTACAGATCCGGACGTGGACATCTTGGGGGGCCGCCATGTTGGAGACGCCGGCTACGGGCCGGAGCGGGGCCCAAGTTTGAACGCGTTTTCGCACCGCCTTCTTTTGCTTCCCTCCCGACTCGGGGCAGCGCCCCCTAGAGACCGCCGCGAGCGGCGAGCGACAGGCGACAGTCTGACAGTCGGGAGCACTCGCGGGTCCTCTCGGTTTGGCCCTAATAAAACGGAGAGGAAAAGAAAGAGAATTTCAAGAATGCTTAACAGTGGTCACTGTCCATCTTCTACCTATCGGGCTTTCTAATGACTACATTTTTTTTTTTTTGCATAGAAGAAAAAACATAAGAAAAGTATCAGTTGGGATGTGTCATTTTGTTTTTTTTTTTAATTTCCTTGTATTTTTCATATTTTCTACTATATGAATTGTGATTAACTTTTTTTAAACGTATGCAATCTCTATCAAAGGGATGCTTCTAAAATATGGAACTGGGACGTGCTTATAGTCCTTCAGTTCCCTTTCTTGTGTAATCAGATTATATTTGTCTGGCTGGAATGGTTTTGATGGGGATAATGTCAGAGCAAACCTTCAACAAGTGGTAGCTCCTGCATTTGATCATTAACAGTCCATGCTTCTAGTTGGCCTCAAGGCCCTCAGCCACCCCCTCGCCCCACCCTTTCCTGGACTCCGAAGGCTCCTTTGACTCTGGCCTTGGAAGGCTTGCCAGGCTAGCCGGGAGCTTCCTGTGCTCCGCTGCTGAGCCACATCCCCTGCCCCATCTACTTTTCACGTCCCCTCAGCCTCCACAGATTCTGAGGACCTGAGGGCCTACAGATGTTCATCTCTCTTAATCCTCACAGCCACCCTTGAAAATGGTAATTCCCCAGAGATGGACTCAAACACACAAAACCAATATGGCCCCTGGAGGGCTGAGGTGGTTGGTACTGCACATGTGTACAAGGCCCTGGGCCCTGGTTTCCATCCTTAGCACCACCAAAAAAAAAAAAAAAAAAAAAAAGAAAGAAATTTCCCCATAGGTAGAATGGTACAAGCAGGGCTATGTGCTGGCCCATCTGCGTTCCTAGGGGACTCCGCGAACCTTCCCTTTAAGTGTTTGCTTCACCCACATCTGATACAGAAGCAGGAGGCTGTTGTGTGGAATGAGACAATTCACAGAAATGAGACACAGATAATGTGGCAGTGCTAAGAGCTCAATGCCTGTTAGTTGCTGTTGCCCTATTACTAACCAGTACTATGGGATCACATCAATGTTACAGACACTTTATCTTAAGGGCTTCACTGACATCATCTCTTAATTCTCAGAACTCTACAAGGTTAAAAGATAGGACAGAGAGGAAGAGTGACTTGCCCAGTGCAAGGATATGTCCTTTCTAAAATTCTGACCAATCCTGTCAAAATGACTCTTCATGGGGGTTATGTCGATTTACACTCCCACCAGACAAGTGGTACAAATGCTGGTCCCCCATAGCCTTTCCACACACGTGGATTTTTTTCACGCATCAGATTAGGCCAAAAAAAAAAAAAAAACAGGCTTTATTTATTTTGCATTTCTTTTATCATAAATGATATTGAAAACTTTTCCTTTCTGTATTTGCTTTGCTCAATTTTGTATCGGGTCATTTGTCTTTCATATTAGTTTCTAGCAGCTCTTTATATAGCAATCATTAGAGATGTGTTGAGAATCTTTTATTTGGGGGGTCTCTAGAATTTCAAATTGTTTTTATTGTTGTTGTTCTTAAAGAAGATTTTGTTTTATACAGAATTTGATTGGTCTTCATTTAAGGCTCCTGGATTTGGGGTCCAAGTTGAAAAGGACTTCCCCACACCCAGGGCTTTAAAGGATTGCCTTCTAGGGATTTTATGGTTTTATTTCTATTTTACATTTAGATCTTTATCCATTTTGAAATATATTGGCTTATGGAGTGAGGTATGGAGTCACTGCACATTTTCTGGGCTGCCCAGTGGTTCCAACACCACTGACTGCAGCCGTCCTCTCTCTGTGGTCCTGCCACACTCACCAACTGAATGCTAGTATGTGGTGGAGTCGATTTCCAGACTTTTCATCTGCTTTACTGGCCTGGCCACTCATGAACTTCTTAATATCTGACTAGGATAACACACCCCATTGATCCCTGTCCTCCAACATCTTCCAGCTTGTATTTCCCTCGGGTGAACGTCGTGTCTTTTAACCCTCTGTGACTGGTGTTTTACTAGGAGCAGGACGTTTTTAATGTAATTTAGAGCTGATAGCTCTGATTGCTCCTGTTCGAGAACTTGGAATATCTTCCCGTTAGTTCAAGTTTTCTTCTGTATCCTCAGTAGTGTTTTTCTTTATCTAGTCTTTATATATTTTTTGTTTATTCCTGATAATATCTTAAGACTAAGATTTTCTATTTCATGAAAATAGAAGGAAGACCAGTAGAGCAGAGAAAGAGGGCTGAGAGGGAGGGAACGGGAGGCGAGGTGCTGGGGACGGAACGGACACACTGTGTCGCTGTGTGTCACATACAAACATAACAGCACACCCCACAGTCACAGGTGATCATAATGCCTTAATAAAAATTTTTTAACTGAAAATGAAAGGTAGGGGCTGGGGCTGTAGCTCAGTGGTAGAGCACTTGCCTAGCATGTGTGAGGCACGCGGTTCGATTCTCAGCACCACATATAAATAAACGAACAAAATAAAGGCCCACTGATAACTAAAAGTACATATAAAAAATTAAAAAAAAAAAAAAAGGCAGCTTCCTCTTGAGGAGGTTGGAGAAACCCAGAGCCAGCACTGGTGCCCCTGTCCGCGGCCCCTCCCACCACGCTCCTGGTGAGACATCTCTGTGCCATCCATCAGTGGCCTCGGCTGCACCTCCACACAGCAGCTAGAGAAAACAGCCCCCCTTCCTCCACTCCCAACACACTTCCTTCTCACCAAGGGACCCACTCCTGTGCCCTTGAGTTGGAGGTCATTACTGAGGGGCAGGTGCACAATCTTGTGACCTGCAAACCCCGTCACCGATTGTTCCCAACTCTCTTTGCTCTGCCTCTTACCTTTATGCACTGATCCCGAGACTGGCTTTTGGTTACTACATCTGCTAGGTTTGGGCTTTAATTCCTTTTGATTTTCAGAGTCTAAGCCCATTACTTACTTCCTACACAGACATCTTTCCAAATATTGCCTGTGACTTGGCCTGGTCCAACAGAGAGCAGTGTGAATCGTCCCTGAGTGACTAGGACTGGGCTGTCACGCAGCTCGGCTGAGTCGTGCCTGCTCTTCTGTAAATGGACATGACCCCCACCCAGCCTCACTGGTCTTGAGAGCAGCAGCAGAGCTCCCTAGCAGGGGTTGGAGGATTTCCACCCCGCCCCTCAGGACATGGAGGACCTTCCTGTTTTCTACTTTCTAGCTGGGATGCAAGTGTACTTCCTGTTCTTTCAAATCATTCACTGCACTGTAGCTAACAAACTCACCTCCTTCCAAATTCACCTTCAGTGGGGAGGAACTACCAAAGAACTTACCTAACTGGATGTGACCCACAGTAAATTGTTTTCTAAGGCCTGTTCTGATCTGCTCACCCAATTCATGTTCCAGGACCACCAGGAGGCTCCTGTGCACGGTGGTCTTGAGAGAAAAGTCCTGGGGAAGAACCAGTTCACGGGAGGCCCTGTCTACTTTGCTTCCTGATGACCCCAGTGTCACTCAATTAAAGTAAAAGGGTCTAGCCTGTCAATCACAGCAGGATGTCAAGTCTTAACATGTTCATTGGTGTGAAGCCTAGTGCCCTTGCCAGTCGCTGGTAAAACTCTGAGGTCCTTGCATGTGGCCTGCGCCTGGGCTGACTGAGCTCTGGGAGGCCCCTTCAGTCGCTCTACAGCCTGGTATCTTGCACAACTCCTGGCAAAGTTAAACGCTACCTAGGGTCTGTCAGCTGCAGGAGCACATGCTGCCATGGAGGCGACACTCTGGCTAGTGGCTTTAGGCTTTCTGTACATGCCTGGCCTAGCCTAAAGATCAGAATAATTAAACTCTCCAACACCAATGTTTAAACCAGGAGAGACCCTGGATATTTTGGAGAAATCATTTGCCCCCCAAATCAAAACTAATTAAGTATAAACTATGACCTAAAACTATAAGAACACAAATGTTTATATCAATAAATCTATGTCATATCTGAGTATCACTGAAATATTGAAAACTCCGTTTAAAGTGTAAAAAAAAAAATCACTTCGCTCCTTGTACACTACCAAGAGAGGTAGCAGGTGGTTCCCTGCTCTCTGCACTTGGGAACTGCTTTGGGATAGGCTGTGGAGGAGTGGATGGTCCTCTTGGGAGGCAATGGAAAGGCAGGAGAGAAGCGAAGGACAAAAATATGAGGCAAACAATCCAAAACCTTTTCATCTTTTTTTTTTTATTTTAAATTACAAAGGGTGTTGCATACACTGATGAATCTGTATCTGACTGGAAGTGCCAGGGGTGGGAAGGGACAGAAAGCAAGGGCAGCCTTGGCACAGCCTTCTCGTCTGAAATGAAAAACTGCACAACTATTAACCAACATTGAATAGAATAGTTTTTAAACAGCTCATGCGTCAGTAAGACAAAATTCTTTCCAGACAAGAGACAAGACTGAATCCAATAAAAGGTGTCATAGCTCCAGGTGGTGGTGGGGGGGGGCAGGAAAAATAAACAAAAACTACAGAATATTCATGATAGCGTTACAAACTGGATCCTAAGCAACTATGCAAAAGAGGTTGCCACAGTGTAGAAACGAATGCTTTGACTTCTCGCCTTTCCACTCTTCTCTTGTGACTTCTGTGCTGGTAGCCCTAGTGTTACTGTTGACCACAAATGCTAAGCTACAAGACAAATCCTGGGGAGAGAAGGTCAAAAAGCAGGCAGCGGATTACAGTGTCGTAACAGTGGGTGGAGAGGCAGATACAGTACACACATACACACGTTTCTGTTATTTGGTTCTGAAAAAAAAAAAAAAACAAAGGGTGAAGGGC